AAAAAAAAAAAAAAGATAAATAATAACAAAAAATCCCAGCCTGGAGTCAGTCTGCCTGGGCTTACATCCTGGAGCTACCGTACGCTTCCTGTGTAACCTTGGGCAAGTTACTTGACCTCTCTGAGCCTCTGACCTTCTGTAATTGGGATAATCATCACTGTTCCCTGGCCATTGCTGTTCACCATATGAAAAGGGTGGGAGCACAGCCCCTAGCGATGAGGATTGTTAACTCTTGTGTTTTCTTAATGTCATGGGACAGCCCCAGCCCCACTAGGATGATCATTGGTTGGGGACACAGCACATGAGGGATCTCCATGTTGTGACTGTGGCAGCTGCTTGGAACTCTGGACTTTTTGGCTAGAAACTGTCAGAAGGGCACAGGTTGGGGGTGGAGGTAAAGGGGGAGCCCAGGAGATGAGCAGCCTGCCCCGCACCCACCCTGTTTTCCCAGCCCCACAGGGAACTGTCCAGGGGCTGTGGCCCTGAGGTGCAGGAGGTGCCACCAGGCACCTGCATGGGGGTCGAGGTTCCTGCAGGCATCCAGTGCAGGAGCAGGGCGCCCCGCCCTCTCTAGTGCCCAGAACACCTGCTCTGCTGGGGCCGCGGCCCTCCAGCAGGGAGGAAGCTTGGAGAGGACTTTCCACAGCAGCCATCTGCCATGCTTTGAGCTTCGTTTTACTCATCTGAATAAATGGCCTCACAGGCCTTGGTGCTCGTATCTGGAGTCTCCCCAGCATCTCTACAGCTCGGACTCCAGCCCTCGGGGTGCCGTGGAGGTAGAAGGGGACAGTGGGAACTCAAGGGGCTGCACCCCCAGAGATGGGCAGCCACATGAGGAAGTGTCTCTGTTGGAAGGACCAGCAGAACAACCGGATAACAGCCCCAGTCATAGACTATGTTGACAAAAGGAAGACAAATAGCTGCGCAGGGTGGCTCACAACTGTAAACCCAGAACTCTGGGAGGCTGAGGCAGGAGGGTCGCAAATTCAAGCTCACCCTGGGTGACTTAGGGAGACCTTGTCTCAAAATTTAAAAGAAGTGCTAGGGATGTAGCTCAGCACAGACTTACTGGTTTTATCTCCGGTATGGGGCCAGGGGGAGGGTAGGAAGATCCCCCAAATGCAGATTCTCCTTTCTGCCCACAGACAGCAGCCCTCTCGTGGGCAGCCCGCCCGCCAGCTATGGGACCCTGACGATCGGGACGTCGATCGGTCCCCACAGCTCCTCAGCTTCATCCGTGGTACGTGACAACATGGGCACCCGGCCTCCCCCTCGCGCCCCGGCCCCAACCCACCGGTTTCTCGCTGTGTCTGCAGAGGCTCAGTGGCTACTGTGGCAGTCCCTGGAGGGCCATCGGCTATCACGCCGTGGTCTGGGTGCTGGCTGGGATCCCCTTGCTGCTCTTCCGCTGGAAGCCCTGGTGGGGGGTGCGGCTGCGGTTGCGGCCCTGCAGCCTGGCCCACGCCGAAACACTCGTCATCGAAACAAGAGACAAAGAGGTGAGAGATGGCCTGGCCTGGGGCTGGATTAGGGCAGCAGTGACCAGGGTGCGCGCATGGGATGCGGGGGTGCCCACCCATTCCACGGGTTGTGGACCCCAGCGTTCCCATCTGAGCATGTGCAGAAGCGGCAGGTTGGGTAGCTTGTATGGGGCTCACTTTGCCTCTACAGCAGGGACCACCTGGTCCAGGGAGGGAACCCGGAAGAGAGGCTCCCTTTTAGGACTGAGGTCCTGCGTCTGTGTTTCAGGATAGTTCGTGGCAGCTGTTCACAGTCCAGGTGCACACAGAGGCCATCGGCGAGGACAGGTGGGGCAGCTTGGCATCCTGCCCAGGAGCCGGACCTAGTGCCTCCGTCCTGTTGGGGGGCGCGTTCCTATGGGAACAGAGAAGGGCTAGGGCAGCCCAGAGCTGCAGGGTGACCCCCAGCTCTCTTTCCAGCCCAGAGCTGTCCCTCCAGGCAGAGGATGGCCGCAGCGAGGTGGCCGTGGGGGCAGTGCCTAAGGCCACGTGGAAGGACACAACCCAGCTCCATAGGAGGGAGGAGGCAGTGAGTGGATAGCCTGGTCCTGAACAAGTCCTTGTCCCTCCCTGGGTCCAGCTCCACCCTCTGCCGTGGGAGGGTCGTTTCCCATGCCCCCACCCACACAAGACCCTTCCTGAGGGCCAGCGCCACCTCTTAGTGGCCTTCTCCCTGCTTGCAGAAGCGGGTGGTGCGGTATTACCTCTTCCAGGGCAGGCGATACATCTGGATGGAGATCCAGCAAGCCTTCCTTCCAGTCAGGTAGGAGCTAAAGTGGGCACCGCCTGCCTCACCACCCAGAGGCGGTGGCCTGGGCCTCCCTCTCCATCTGCTGTGAAATCTCCCAGGGTCATGGAGCCTTTCCAGGCCTGAGTTTTGGGCTATAAATCAGGGTAGAGAATAATCCCCACCTTCCAGGGGTATTTTGAAGGTAGAACATGAGGATTTACACAGAGCTGGACCTAGTTGACCCAAGGTGGCTAAGTTTCTGTGACCAGCGAACATGGCCCCTCTGCCTCCTCCAGGGAGGAAGGAGCCGGGACACTTACCCATCAGTTCCAGGCTACCCTGGGGACACAGGCTCTTAAGCCCTTGAGGCTCAGAAGGCTGGGTGTGCTCACCATCCCCATTGGGGTGGGGATGGCACTGTCGCCCTCTGCTGCCCAGCAAGGAGAACAGCAAGTCCATTTTCTGCCGAAGTCCCAGGGCTCCCACCCGTCCTAGGCCCAGGGAGGTGAAGTAACTTGCCTAAGTGTCAGTACAGCTCTTGTTGTCACCGAGAGCTTCTCACGTCAGCCTTAGTTTAGTATTCCTTCATATTATCGTCACTTCATTGTTCTTCCTTGTTGAGATGGTTGGAGAGAAACAGGAAGAAAGGAGAAAGCTAAGCCCTGAGTTCCTGACAGGAAGTGCTTTTTCCCAGGAGCATAGGGTGGCAGAAAGGGTGGGGGTCCTGGAGCCTGGGGCAAAACTCAGACCCACAACACCAGTGTCCCTGCCTTCCCCTCCCAGCCTGCTGGACCGTGGCCATACCTGTGATGACATTCACGGCTCCCGCTCTGGCCTCAGCCTCCCAGACCAGACTGTGAGGTGGGTGCTGCCTTGGGCCTCGGTCTCCCCAGCTTCACAGCCCTGGGAGGCTCCAGCTGTCACAGTACCCCTCCATCTGACGGCTCAGCCACCAACCTCCTTACAGGAAGAAGATTTTCGGCCCCAACGTGATCAGCATACCAGTCAAGTCCTACCCACAACTCCTGGTGGATGAGGTAGGGTCACCCCTGCATCTTGCCCTTGCTCTGGCCTCTGGGACACTTCACAGTGACAGATCAGTCACCTGTCCCCTTCTCCATAGCAGGTGGTAAAAAGCTGCCTCACACTCAGCTCAGTCACCTCAGCCAGTGAGAGGCCAGGCAGGGACTTGGAGAGCCCACGGAAGCCTTGGGCTGGAGGCAGGCACAGCCTGCGTGGAGGCAAAACCATGCAGCTTGATACCTGCACAAGGCGATGTGCTGGAGCCTTGCTGGGGACTAGAGAGACCCTGGGAGTAGGGACCAGGCCTGTACTCTTCACACTTGAGGAACCCGAGCTTCAGGGCAGGGCCAAAACAAGAGCCAAGTCGTTCAGGTATAGGGAAGCCAGTGACCTGGGCATGTCTAGAGTAGACACCATCACCATAGACACTGTGAAAGGGAGAACCCTGGGAATCTGGCCACTGTCATCCACAGACTGCCTCAGGGGCTGGGCTTTTAGGCCAGTGCCTCAGTTTTATCATCTGTACAATGGAGTTGAGCCGGGACCCACTTGGTGGAACTGCCATCGGTACTGCTTGGCACAGGGGGCTCAGCAGCCTCCCGTGTCCTGAAGCTTGGAGAAGCAGGCTGTTTAAGGGGCATCTACCCGGGTGTGGGTAGGCCAGAGCCAGAGAAAGGCCTGGCTTCTGTCCTCTGGCAGCCCCTGTGCCCTCCACTCCAGTGGCCTGTGCCGGGTTTGCCCGAGGATGCTGGCCCTCACGCTGCCTGCCACCCCTCACAGGCGCTGAACCCCTACTACGGGTTCCAGGCCTTCAGCATCGGGCTGTGGCTGGCCGATCACTACTTCTGGTACGCCCTGTGCATCTTCCTTATCTCCGCTGTCTCCATCTGCCTAGCCATGTACAAGACCAGAAAGGTGAGCGGGTGAGGCTTCACGGATGGGCAGGGCGTCCCCCAGGGGCTGCCACCCTCTTACCCTCTGTCGTCCTCCTGCCTACAGCAAAGCCAGACCCTGAGGGACATGGTCAAGTTGTCCATGCAAGTGCACGTGCGCAGGCCTGGGGGAGGTGAGGAGCCAGGGCTGGAAGAGGACCAAGGAGGTGGCAGGGAGGTGGGTGGGGAGAAGCCACACTGAGCTCCACCCGCCCTCAGGGGAAGAGTGGGTCAACTCCAGTGAGCTGGTGCCTGGAGACTGCTTGGTGCTGCCCCCGGAGGGCGGGCTGATGCCCTGCGATGCTGCCCTGGTGGCTGGCGAGTGCATGGTCAACGAGAGCTGTCTCACAGGTGAGCCTGGCCCCAGCATCACCTCAGCCCCTCCCTGCCCCCAGCCCTCTGCCTTGGAACAGAAGGTAGAAGGCTTGAGTTTTCTTTCCTTTTTCCCTTTTTAAAAATTTTTTTATTTTAGGGAAGGGTCTACAGGGTGTTCAGGGTCTCACTACTAGACTGGACTTGTGACCTGCGTGTTTACAGCCTCCCAAGAGCTGGGATTACAGGCATGTGCCACCACGCCCAGTCTCAATTGCCATCGCAGCACATCGGGTCCGGGGATTGAACCCCCAGCCCCTGCGCCTGCTTGCAAACCCTTTAATCCCCTGAGATATTTGGCTGGCCCCTCCTTTTTCCTTTAAATAGCAATCCTGGCTTTAGGACTGTTAGCCCCACACCCTTGGACTAGCGATATCCCATCCTGTAAAATGGGGCGCTCAGTCTTTCCTGGGTAGGGCACATGGAGTGCCCAGAACATGCAGGGCGCAGAGAAAGCACCCAGCTTCTGTACATTGTCCCTGCAACGCCTGCCGTCCTGACCTAAAGACTGCAAACCACTAGGAGGGTGTGTGCAGGGTGGGTGGGGCGTCCTGCCCTGACCCCAAGCGTCTCTCTCTGTGCTGTGTGTGGTGTGTGGACAAAAGTGACTACGCTCCTGGTTCTACAGTGGGCTCACACTCTTGTACTGTGGGCTCACGGTACTATAGTCTGTGCTGAGCAGCGTGTGTCCTGGGCTACACAGCGCCACCTAGAGATGCATAAGGGGCGGCGGTGCTGGTGGAGGGTGACCCTTTTTTGTAAAGGATCTTTGGTCTGGCAGGCAGCTTGTGCAGGGCCGTGGAGAGGTTATGTCACATCTCTGTGTAAAGATCCTTGCTGGCTGGAACATAAAAGTAATAGGTAGGGGCCGGGGAGATGGCTCAGTGGAATAAGTGCTTCCCTGGCAAGCGCAAGGGCCTGAGTTCTAATCCCCAGTTCCGCCAAAAAAAAAAAAAAAAAAAAAGTAATAGGTGCTTGTGCAGGAATAATTCCAGTGGAAGGAGAAAAGGGCCCACTACTCATCCCTGGAACTGGTTCCTGCTTCACTGGCTGCCACATTCCATGCCCCCAGCATTGTCTCACTGTGTCCTCGTCTCTTCTGCCCTCTCAGAACCTCAGCTCCCCCTCTGTAAAATGGGGCCGATTTCTTGTTCATGCCAGCTGGTTACGGATCTAATGAAGCCGAGAGCTGGTGGTGCGACCCTATGCAGAACTCTTGGTTTTCCTAATGGGAGGGTGTGACCCGAGGGCCCTCATGGGCCTCAGACCTTGTCCCTCCCAGGGGAGAGCGTCCCGGTGCTGAAGACAGCCCTCCCAGAGGGGGACAGACCATACTGCTCAGAGATTCATCGGCGGCACACTCTCTTCTGCGGGACCCTCGTTCTGCAGGCCCGGGCCTACGGGGGACCCCATGTCCTGGCGGTGGTGACCCAGACAGGTGCATATGAGCAGGTGGGGAAGAATGCTGGGCTTGGTGCTGACAGGGTATCACAGGGCAGAGCAAGATCCAGAGCACACCCACCTCTGCCCCTGCCTTGCAATCAAGATAAAGTCCCACTCCACGTGCACCTCGGTGGCCTCATGTTAACAGAAAGAGTTGGGCCAGCTCGGACCAAGGTTTTTTTTTTTTTTTTTTTTTTTTTTTTGAGACAGAGTCTCACTATGCAGTTCAGACTGGCCTTGAGCTCATTTTGTAGCCCAGGCTGGTCTCAAACTCATAATGATACTCCTGCCTCAGCCTACCGAGTGCAGGGATTACAGGTGTGCACCACCATGCCCAGCCTAAGAACTAAGCATTTTGATGTCCACAGAATCAGGGGCTACAATTCTTGGAGCACAGTGGAAAGAGCCTACTCTGAACCCAGACTGTAAAGGAAACGGCCCCATGTTTAGATTCTGTCCACTGACGCCATTGTTTGAAGCCCTGCAAAGGCTGGGCAAAGCCTGTGGGCCACTGTCTGACCCCAAACTGGGTGACAACTGACAGTGTGAGCGTTGTGTCTTAGCAGCTCAGGGTGCAGGTGGGGTGGGTGGGGTGGGGAGCCCCATCCTCTTGAGTTCACTTTGTAGCCCAGGCTGGTCTTAAACTCATAAATGATCCTCCTGTCTCAGTCCACTGAGTACAGGGATTACAGGTGTAATCCCCTCATGGCTTCCCTGCCTCACTTTCCCCATCTCCCAGGGTTCTGCACAGCTAAAGGGGGCCTGGTGAGCTCCATCCTGCATCCCCGGCCCATCAATTTCAAGTTCTATAAGCACAGCATGAAGTTTGTGGCTGCCCTCTCTGTCCTGGGTGAGTGGGCCCCTCTACCGCACTCTGCCTGTGGCCCCCAGCCCAGGACCAAAATCCCCTTAATCCCACGATGTCTCCCCAGCTCTTCTCGGCACGGTCTACAGCATCTTCATTCTGCACCGCAACCAGGTGAGCTGCAGGGAGTGGCATAGGGCGGTGACAGATGGCTGCCCCGGGATGCCGCAGCTCTCACAGTGCCTCCTCCCAGGTGCCTGTGAACGAGATAGTGATCCGGGCCCTGGACCTGGTGACCGTGGTGGTGCCGCCCGCCCTGCCGGCTGCCATGACTGTGTGCACGCTCTATGCCCAGGGCCGCCTGCGCGCACAGGGCATCTTCTGCATCCACCCGCTGCGCATCAACCTTGGGGGCAAGCTGCGTCTGGTGTGCTTTGATAAGGTGGGGGCCACCAGCAGGCTGGCTGGGCGCAGGCAGCACTGTCTTTGGGGGCTGCACCCCACCTTTACTAACTCAGGGTCCAGTGGATGAAATGTCCAGACTCATCTTTTCATTTGTTCAAGACCTGGTGAGGGCCCGTTGTCACCTGGGTTGCTTTTAACCTTGAGGTCCAGCAATAACCAGATATCCCCACCAGCTACCAAGGCCTCCTGCCTGCCCCTCTGGAGGCTGTCACCAACTGTCACCCCCATCAGCCTATGCCCTCCCAGCACCTTCCTAGCCCCATTGCTAGAGTTTACTTTGCTTGACGTGAGCTGCTTTCCAGGAGACAGTGGGTTCCATGGGGACAGGGACGTGTGTGTGTGTGTGTGTGTGTGTGTCCACACACAAACAGATGAACCAGGCAGAAAGCCCACAGGAGAGACGCAGGGGCAGTGGGTTTTGTGGGAGGAGCAGTGGCTCTGTGATTAGCAGTAATCATGGACATGACCTCAGAGAGGGCAGTTGGAGCTCCTGTGGGGAGGTCCTCCAGCAGCACATGGGGCCCAAAGCAGGGACCACCTGCCCCAGGCTGGGAGGTGAAAAGAGATGACTTCCTGGAGGAAATGCCAGGCAGACAAACTGGGTAGGGGTGACCCTGGGAGTAGGAACTATGTATGCAAAGGTCCTGAGGCAGTACAGAGCCTCTCCTGGCTCCAGCTCTGGTTCCTGGGTCCCAGGGTGGGGCAAGGACAGCTAATCCAGGACCTGTCCTTGTCCCTCCACAGACAGGCACCCTCACTGAGGACGGCTTGGATGTGATGGGGGTGGTGCCCCTGAAGGGGCAGGTGTTCCTCCCACTGGTCCCAGAACCCCGCTGCCTGCCCATGGGGCCCCTGCTCCGAGCGCTGGCCACTTGTCATGCCCTTAGCTGGCTCCAGGACATCCCAGTGGGCGACCCCATGGACCTCAAGATGGTGGAGTCTACTGGCTGGGTGAGGAGGCCATCTGTCTGTAAAGGAAGCTGCCCCAGCATCGTAACTCAAGTCTCCTGCTGCCTCCCGCCCTGGACTGAGGCCTGCAACAACCAACCTTCTCTGCTTGCCTCCCAGGTCTTGGAAGAGGAGCCAGCTGCCGACGGAGCACTTGGGACTCAGGTGTTGGCAGTGATGAGACCCCCGCCATGGGAGCCCCAGACGCAAGGAACGGTGAGCCATGAGCTTCCTGTGGAGGGCGGGTCCAGGGCTGGCCTCCACAGCCAGCCGTCAGCTCCTCCCACCCTGCAGGAGCCCCAGGTGCCACTCAGCATCCTTGGCCGCTTCCCCTTCTCCTCCACCCTCCAGCGAATGAGTGTGGTGGTGGCGTGGCCCGGGGCCACTCAGCCTGAGACCTATGTCAAGGGCTCCCCAGAGCTGGTGGCCAGCCGCTGCATCCCCCACACAGGTGAGTCTGCTGTTGGGTACAGAGCGTTTGGGGGGTGGGGTCCCGCCTCTGCCCGCTCTGCCCTGCTCCAGTGATCCTGCCTCTTGGCACAGTGCCCAGCGACTTCACCCAGACGCTGCAGAGCTACACAGCGGCCGGCTACCGCGTGGTGGCCCTGGCCTGCAAGCCGCTGCCCATCGCTCCCAACCTGGAGGCCGTGCAGCAGCTCTCAAGGTGGGCCTGCCCGGGCACAGTGAGGGGGAGACTCACACAGGCTGAGCCCAGGGAAGATGCCCCTGCCTGCTGCCTGGGAGGGGGCCCATGACCACTGTGTGACCTCTGACCCAAGTCTGCCCACCCTCCAGGGACACCGTGGAGCAGGACCTGAGCTTCCTGGGGCTGCTTGTCATGCGGAATCTGCTGAAACCACAGACAACACCGGTGATCCAAGCTTTGCGGAGGACGTGCATCCGTGCCGTCATGGTGACAGGTGCCATGGGGTCAAGAGGGTGGGATCTTCCCTGTCCTGGGCAGAAGGAAGGGGACCCTTCTTTCTCAGCAGTCCCTCCTGAGTCTTTACTTCATGAATCTCTACAAAGGCATAACTCACAAATGTAAACGTCACCCACAGTTGACACACGGGGAAACGGAGGCTCAGGAGAGTAGAGGCCAGGCATGGTTTAGCAATGTCACCCACTCAGTGGCTGGAGGACCCCTCTGGGTTCTGGCTTCTGCTTCTGAGAAATGAGGATGATGATGTCAGTCTCCAAGGTGGGACCGTCTCATGGGCAAGGAGATCCTAGTGGGCATGAAAGCAGGAGGGAGCTCAAAGCGCTGTGTGCTTGTGCCCCAGGCCCTTGCACACATGTGTGCACACACACTGTTCAGCAGAGTCACACGGCTGTGCAGCTCCAGCCCAGTCTCGTTTCTGCTGCCTTGTTTCACCCCTGAGGAAACAGAGGTCCCGACGTGAGGCTCTTTGCCAGTGGCCACTCAGGCACTCAGCCTTTCCATCTGTGGGGATGTGGGGGTGGCTGGCTTTGACCTTGACCCTGTCCTGCACCCCTAGGGGACAATCTGCAGACAGCGGTCACTGTGGCCCGGGGCTGTGGCATGGTGGGCCCCCAGGAGCATCTGGTGATCATCCAGGCCACCCACCCTGAGCAGGGGCGACCTGCTTCTCTCCAGTTCCTGCCTGCAGAATGCCCTGCCACTGTGAACAGGGCAAAGGTGAGGCTAGCCCAGAGGCCCATCTCTACCTCACCAGTGACCCCAGCTTGTGTTACGCAACCTGGCCCTAGCTCTGCAGGGTGGGCAGGGAGAGCTAAGCTGAGTTTCCTGGGCCCCCAGGATCCTGTGCAGGCTGAGAGCTACACAGTGGAGCCAGACACCCGATCCCGCCACCTGGCCCTCAGCGGGTCCACCTTTGGCATCCTTATGAAGCACTTCCCCAAGCTACTGCCCAAGGTAGGGTGGCCCTGAGCCTAGCCAGCCACACCTGCCTCCTGGGTTTAGCCCTGGCCTCAGCCTGCCCCTCACTGTGCCTGCAGGTCCTGGTACAGGCCACGGTCTTCGCCCGCATGGCTCCTGAACAGAAGACAGAGCTTGTGTGTGAACTGCAGAGGCTCCAGTGAGTGCTGAGAGGCAGGGCCTCTGGGTAGGGCCTGCAGGAAGTTGTCACCCTTAAAACACTAGTCCAGAGCCGGGAGTGGTAGCGCACACTGTAATCTCAGTACTCCGGGAGGCTGAGACCGGAAGGTTGCAAAGTCAAGCCCAGTTTGAGTAGTTTGTCAGTTTAGCAAAAGCCCATCTCAGGGGCTGGTGAGATGGCTCAGTGGTCTACAGCACCTGCTTAGAACAAGCTTAGCAAAGCACAGGGACCGCGGTTCAATCCCCCAGCACCACATGCCAGCCCGCCCCGCCCCCTGGTGGGCTGAGCCAGCCACACACACAAAAATAATAAAAATAAAATAAATAATTAAAAAAAAAAAAAGCCCAACTCAAAATAAAACATAAGACCAAGTATGGTGGCAGATGCCTGTAATGCCAGCGCTCGGGAGGTTGAGACAGGAGGCTTGCAAGCTTGAGCCCAATATGGACAGTTTATAGTTTTAATTTATCAACTTAGTGAAACCCTAACCCAAAATAAAAAATAATAAAGGGCTGGAGATGTAGCTCAGCACAAAGGCTCTGGGTTTGAGCCCTAGTACAAAAAAAGCTTCCAGGCATGCTGTCTTGGATATGTCTAACCCTCTGTCCTACCAAAAATAATTACACGATTTCCTGGGCACTGTGAGGGCGCCCACAAGCCTGGGGTGGGTTGGAGTCACTTCATAGGCCTCGCCCCCTTCTCACCAGGTACTGTGTGGGCATGTGCGGGGATGGTGCCAATGACTGCGGGGCCCTGAAGGCTGCTGACGTGGGCATCTCGCTGTCCCAGGCTGAGGCCTCAGTGGTTTCACCCTTCACCTCAAGCATGGCCAGTATCGAGTGTGTGCCCATGGTCATCAGGTGAGGCGGGCGAGGGCTTGGGGGGGAGTGGCAGGACCTGGGAGGGAACCAGCCTGGCACCCTGACACCCGCCCTGCTCCCCAGGGAAGGCCGCTGCTCTCTCGACACATCCTTTAGTGTGTTCAAGTACATGGCCCTCTACAGCCTGACCCAGTTCATCTCGGTCCTGATCCTCTACACGGTGAGGTCTGCAGAGCTGCAGCGTGGGCAGAGTGTGCAGCAGCAGGGCCAGAAGGCTGGCAGCTGGGACATGGGCGGTGACTCGGCAGTGAGGTTCATGAGATGAACGCTGGGGCTGGCCATGGTGGCCACGCCAGGAAGACCCTTGGGAGCTCAAGACCAGCCTGGGCTGCAAAGTGAGCTCAAGGCCAGCCTGCACTGCATAGCGAGAACTTGTCTCAAAAAGAAAAAAAAAAAGCTCTGAACACAACCCCATGCAGAGTAGGTCTTCAAAGATGATAGCAGGGCCAGGGAGCTAGCTCAGTAGAATAAGCACTTAGGGGCTGGGGAGATAGCCCAGTAGAATAAATGCTTGCCTGGCAAGTGTAAGGACCTGAGTTCAATCCCTAGTTACACACACACACAAAAAAGAATAAGCACTTGCCTGGCAAGTGCAGGGTCCTGAGTTCAATTTCCGGTACTGCAAAACAAAAAGAAAAAAAAACAAGATGGTAGCAGGTGACATGTGCTGACAGCTTCTCCCTAGTTTTAAGAGCTTGCTGTATGCAGGAGAGACTGAGGCAGAGCTCAGGCTGGAGCGGGGGTACAGCCAAGATCCTGGCTATGCCCACTTCCCACGGCACACCTTTTGCCCTAACCCCCCTCACTCTGACCCTGACCTGACAGTGCCACCCCAGTCCTGCTCAGGAGGGGCCCTCAAAGGTCAGAGCTTGCTGAGAGCACGAACCACGTGTCCTGGTAGCTGAGGGGCTGCAGGGCACAGGCTGACCTTCCGTCAGGCTGAGGGTTTATTGCAGGTGTTCCCCATTGGGGTTAGGGCCCCACAGTCACCCCAGGAGACAGAGGGGACTCCCCAAAGACAAGACACTGCTTCCCACATCAGATGAGGGGCTTAGCTAACATGTAGGAGCTGCACCTCCCCCATCAGACTCAGGATTCCCCTGTCCCCATCTCTCTCTCTCTTTTTTTTTAATGTATTTGGTACAAGGTCTCACTATGTAGCTCACTCCTGTTTTCAGCCTCCCGAGCACTGGGATTATAGGTGTGCACCACCATGCCCAGTCTCGCCTGGCTCAGCACACCCAGGGGCAGGGCTGGCGAGGCATGTGGTGCTGGGGATCAAACCCCGGTCCCTATGCTTGCTTAGGCAGGTGCTTAGTCCACTGAACTGTAGTCCTCATCAGGCTTCTCAGGGGCAGAAACGGCTCCCCTGACTGACCCGGGGCAGCCCTGAGGGGTCTCAGCTTCTGCTTGGTCCTCCCTCCCCTGCCGCAGATCAACACCAACCTGGGGGACCTGCAGTTCCTGGCCATTGACCTGGTCATCACCACCACAGTGGCCGTGCTCATGAGCCGCACAGGGCCAGCTCTGGCACTGGGGCGGGCGCGGCCCCCAGGGGCCCTGCTCAGTGTGCCTGTGCTGAGCAGCCTGCTGCTGCAGGTGGCCCTGGTGGCTGGTGTGCAGCTGGGGGGCTACTTCCTGGCCGTAGCCCAGCCCTGGTGAGTTGGTCTCAGCAACCTCCCCCAAGTCCTGCCTGTGCCCCTGTGTGCCCCCTTTCTCTGACCCTGGCTCTGAACCCCAGGTTTGTGCCTCTGAATAAGACCGTGCCGGCACCCGACAACCTGCCCAACTATGAGAACACAGTGGTCTTCTCCCTGTCCAGCTTCCAGTACCTCATCCTGGCCGCGGCTGTGTCCAAGGGGGCACCCTTCCGCCGGCCACTCTACACCAACGGTGCTGCTGCGGGTTGGGATGGGGGGTTGGGCCAGGAGGGAGGATGGGGCTCTGAAGGGGGGAGACTGTCCCGGGTGTGGCTCCCTTGCTGACCGACTCCCCCACCCCCAGTGCCCTTCCTGGTGGCCCTCGTGCTCTTGGGCTCTGTCCTGGTGGGCCTCATCCTGGTCCCCGGCCTCCTGCAGGGGCCGCTAGGGCTGACGAACATCACAGATACTTGCTTCAAGCTGCTGCTGCTGGGCCTGGTCGCCTGCAACTTTGTGGGGGCCTTCATGCTGGAGGTGCGATGCAGCCGTGGCGGGGGGGAAGGAGGGACAGAGGGATCTGGGGCTTGGCACCAGCTTTCCCTCCACTCCCTGCTTCCTCCGCAGAGTGTGCTGGACCAGTGTCTGCCAGCCTGTCTGCAGCAGCTCCGCCCCAAACGGGCCTCTAAGAAACCCTTCAAACAGCTGGAGCAGGAGCTCGCTGAGCGGCCCTGGCCACCACTGCCCACTGCTGGTGCAGTGAGGTAGCACAGGCTCGTGTGCACCCTGGACACTGGACCTCCCTGCCTCTGAGCCACCATCTGGACGTCTAGAGGGCCCACTGCTGTCACCTCCTGCCACCCTGGGGTTGGCTGTTGTCATGCTTCTGCCCTGAGACCACCTGGCCCAGCCTTCCTGCACCCCACCCTGGGGAAGTGCTGAGTACTGCCCCTGATTCATGCTGTGTAGAAAAGGCAGCCACCAACTCCACTCAGAACTGCTGTCAACGTAGCAAATAAAGTCAAGATATTTTCCTGGCTCAACCATGTTTGTCTCATACCTGGCCACCCTCTCCTCTCAGGGCCCAGCTGGCAGCCCCTGCCCTGGGTGGGAAAGCCCCATGTTTCAGATCACGTTGGACAACTCTCCTCCCCAGGCTTCCTTTCCTCAGCTCAGTGATGAAGTCATGACTTCCTTGCGCACTGCCTCCCGCGGTGCACAGTCACCTGGAGGCAGCTGCAGGTGCTGCCCGTATCGTACAGACAAGGGACCAGGTTGGGGCTCTCCATTGTCCAGAGGTGGGCAGGCTGCTTGACTCCACCGTGTCTCCCTTCCAGGGACCAATAGCAATGGGCTCACTTCAGGCCAGTGCCCACTGTGTGCCAGGCCTGGGAGGCAGTGTCCCTCTTGGCCACTGGCCACCTCCACCCCTCACTTGTCACCCCCCACATTCCAAGACATGTCTATGGCTTATACCCTCCCTCATACAATCCAGGCTATGAGCCCAGTCTCCCAGCCAGAGCCACATGCCCCCTCCCCAGGGAATTGGTGTGCCTGACCTTGTCCCACCCGTGAGCCCCTTGCCAAGCCCCTCTGCTCTGAGGATGCCACTTGGTCTGGCTCATCTGGGCAGAGAAGATGGGAAAGAGGCTGTTTCCTGCCTTTCAGAGGTCCCGCCAACCTCATTACTGGAACCCCTGGTGCAGTCTCCTGGGCTGTCACAGTAGGAGTTTGGGAAATACTGAATCAGGCTGACATGAGCAGATGTGGCATGGCGTGGAAAAGGTAACATGATATACACACCCACAGGCCTGCTCTAGGTAGAAGGCTGCCACGGGCAGGCAGATGGGGAGAGGCCTGGGTCAAACCACTCCTCCATCCTTAGCGCTTCCCCTATGAATCCCTAGGACAGGCAAGTGCCAGGCTCTGGCTAATGCAGAGCAGATAAATATGGTCTCAGCATGGGCAGCTTCTAACCTAGTGGGCCAGGCCATCAGGAAGACGTGAGCCAAGAGCTCACTGGGAGATTAGGCACAACTACTTCACCCTTCCAAACTGCTGCCACTCTGCTTGGGTCCATAGGACAAGGGAGTGGACAGGAACAGGACCAGGACATTGGGGCTGGCACTTTCGAGCCTCAGTTTCCCCCCTTTGTCAGTGCCACCCAGAGGGCAACATTTCCACTGGGAAATTTTTTCTCCTATACCAGCAGGATTGGACCCAATAGCCCTGCTACACGGAGGGCTGGGCTAGCCCCCAGGTCCCCTGCCCTCTGAGACACAAAAGTCCCTGCTATATTGCAGTTAACACGAGGGTCAAGAGCAGATGATTGTGCATTCAACCAGCAGGGGAGAACCAATAATGCACAGGAGGTATCAATAGGACACCAAGCCCAGGGTCACATAGGGCTATGGCCAGCCCCAAATCAGGAGACTTGCAACCCCACCACAGGCGCCCTGACAGTCTCACCTGGGAGAGGAGCATGGGCAGCTCATTCACTCATTAAGTGCTTCCTGAACACCACTCTGCGCCTGGCATTGTGCTTAGGGAGCAAAACTCCACAATGAGCAAGAAAAGACCTGGTTATGGGGCTGATGCCACTTGATTGTGCAAAGGGACAAGATGCAAATGGTCACAAAGCTAGGGCAACAAGAAACCAATGTTTGAGAGGATACCACGTCACAGGGAGGGAGGGCAGGTTCCTCTAGAGAAGGAAGGCTGGAGCTGGGACCTGGGGTGGATAGGTGGGGTACAGTGGGGGGCACCGCAACCGTATTCCAGGAGCAGAGACAATTTGAGCAAAGTCCTTGTGGCGGGAGGACTGGGGCTCATGAGAGACCAAGAGGAGCCAGAGCCGGAGTGTGATGAAGCCCAGAGTCTTTGGAAGATCAACCTCAGGCCTAGGTACCATGGGACAGCAGTGCAAGGCTTTAAGGACAAGCTGAAAGGGGAGGACAGGGCCCTGGGCAGCCCTACAAAGGGGGTTTATAGGGAGATCGGTGGCAGGGTGCTGAAGTTAGTGAGGCTGAAGGCAAGGTAGACGGATAGTGGCCACTGCTGCTACTGGGATAGCTCAGAGGAGAAGTCTGGGGGAGGACCGGGTGTTCATCAATTTGCACTTGCATGTTTGTTGGGTCTGATATGCTTTGGGGACTTCAGAGACCCAGCAGGGGACAGCCTGTGACAGGACAGGGCCCGGGCTGAGTTGAGAGAAAGAGGCCTGGGTCAGTGAAGCCTGCATGGGCTTGCACCTGGGCAGTGGGAGAGCCGGAGGGCTCCTTTGCCTAGAGAAGAGAGAGGACTCCACCGCCCCAGGGTGTCCCCGGACCTAGAGGGAGAGCCTAGTGGGAGAGCCTCTGTCCCTGCAGCCCAGTGGCTTTAGGGGAATGTGTTTGGGGCGCTTGGATGCCCCTCTGTGAAATGGGGTGACACACCCACCTGGGGCGTGGCGAGAAGGAAGTCTTGCACGCCGGACAGCGGGACGCATCTGGGCCCCACAAAGGGACAGGTCCTGGGAGCCCCCGCCCCCAGGGCCACCCCAAAGGGCTCGCGTTAGGACCCAGCGGCCGCGGGCTGGAGGCGGCGCCGGCCGGTCGGCTGGGAGGGGGCGCGGCGCGGGCGGGGGCCGGGGGCGCACTCGGGGTGCAGCGCTGCGCTGGACGGGACAGGTAGGCGCGGCGGGCTGCGGGGCTTCGCGCTGGAGACGCCCAGGGGACTCCTTTCTGCGCCGGCTGGCGGCCACCCGAAGCCCGAGGCCTCTGAGCCGTTGCTAAACGAGGCTTCTGAAAAGTTTGGGCTAGATTTGGGGAAGGCATAAGTGGAGAAATGTGGGGACCCCGAGCTTGGGGGAGACGGGATTGGGGGTGTCGGGCTCAGGCGGGCGGCTTTTGTTCACGGGGGAAGTTGGAATGCGGCGGATGGGGTGGGGGCTCCTCGGAGCTGTGGAGAGAGACGCAGAGACAAAGAGAGATCAGAGACCGAGCCAGCGCGGGGCTGATTGCTCCCAGCTGTGCGCGGACCGCGCATCTGGTTTCCTCCGGGATCCCGTTCCGGCCTCGGGAGCGGCAGAGCCTCTTCGGCCTGAGCCTGCGTGGGGACTCCTCGTCCCCCAGGACGCAGAAGAAAGCGGAGTGTGGGGGAGGCAGGTTGGGGGAAGGGGCCAGAGTTGGGGTGGAGCGGTCTCCTCGGCAGGTTCTTGACCTCCTCTTGTGTCTCCTGAATTCAAAGTCTAGAAAGCCTTGGAGATGTCACTGGGAAGGTGTCCCTTACCCTCCTTTTCATGGCCCACCCTATCCCGTGAGCCCCTTCCCTAGGAAGCCTGGCCCTGGGGCAGGAGAATGCCAGGCAGGGGTCTGAGAGTCATCCCAAGCCTCCTGAGACCTCCTCGTACCCCAACTCAGGGACCTTTCACCATTCCAGCTGCCTGGTTGCCACCAGCTGGATTGGGGCATGGTGGCCCCTTAACCTGAGGAGACTAGGGAGTCTCAAGAACGGGGACATAGGAGCCTGGTGTCCCTAGCCTATGGCCCCATGCCACCTCCCCCAGGGAGGTTTTAGATTCCTGAGATGGGCAGGGGGTCAGAGAAGCCTTGGAGTTGGGAAAAACGGGGAATAGATGCCCTATTTTGTCCCTTTCTCTGCCCTCTTCCTAGATTGCCAAAGGAGGTGTTCTGCCAATTTAGGGTGTTCAGTTAGCTGTCTGGAGCCTTCCTGTACTGGGCAGAGAGGGAGACCCCTGGGTAGATGAGTCCATGGATTCTGACCTCACAGCTGTTCCCACGGCAGGCCAGCAGCCTCGAGGTTACCCTCCACTAAGCTGGGACTAGATGTGGGGACCCGGAGTTGCCACCAAGGCCACTGTGTAGCCAAATTGAGTGGCTGGACTCCACTAGGAGCTCTTGAACTCCAGGAACCCGGTGAAGCCAAAGAACAGTGCCCTCGCCCAAAAGTTGCACAACCCTTGTCACAGCACGTCAGGGCATGAAGCACGTCTGGGCTGAGTGACATCTCTGCGCCAGGGCAGTGCTCAGGCTCCCTGGCTCTCTCCCCAGGCCCTTCCTGCGGCTGTAGACAAATGGACCTCAGTCTCGTGAGTCTGGGATGAAGACAGCCAGGTCTTGGGAGGCCTGGAGCCTGGCAGGAGAACTGTCTTCTTACGGTTGGGAGCCCTGCCCAGCCCTGGCTGCTTTGTGGGCCCCTCAGGCCTGTGTGCGTGTAGTTTCCTGCTGAGCAACACGCTTAGGGCCCAGGGGCTAATTGGGAACAGGTGTCGGGCCTGGCAGATGCCCCAGTGTAGGCTGTGATGTGGGTGAGCAGAGCTGGCATCCTGCAGATGTGCCTAGGGTCAGGGATTCCAGGCGTGTGTCAGACACCGGAGTGTGCTGAGAACAGTTACAACTGGGTCCGAGAGGGCATTAGAAACGTCCCGGTCCTGAGCAAGCAAGGTGGGATCTGTTCATGTGCCACGATCACCCCTGGGCCAGCCAGGCTGGAAATCCCTGCCCGGGTGTCCTGAACCCCGGATGACAGATGTCCCTCTGAAGTCGCCAAAGCGGCATCTGGTCCTCCAGAAGTCTGGCTGAATTAGGGGAGAGGTGGGCCCTGCAGTCCTGGGGTGTTGGCCTAAGACACAGCCCTCCTCTCCTCTGCCTCCAGCTGTCCTCCAAGTCCACCCCTGCCTCCTCACTCTGTGGCCATGAGAGCTGCCTACCTCTTCCTTCTGTTCCTGCCCGGTAAGTGGGGTGGGAGGTGATGCCCCTTAAGTGGGGTTTGTGGACAGGGGCCCACAGTGAGCCGTGGTCACGCCCTGTGGCCAGAACTCCATCCTGCAGCTCCAGGCCTGCCTTTGTGGACCACAGATGGGGCTGGCCCCTCCAGGGTCTGGAGGCCTCTTCTGGGACCTTCCCCAAGCCTTCTGCAGCAGCAGGCAGCAGTGCTCTGGAGAGTGGGCACATGCCAGGCAACAGGAATCCATGCTTGTGTTCTTACTGCCCCTCCAGGACCTGCTGGGCAGGTATAGGGGCCCCTGAAGCAGGGAGTCCAGAGGCTTGGGTTCTAGACCCATATAGGGTGCTATCTACCAATATAATTTTTTCTCCCTTATTACTAAGGACTGAACCCAGGGCCTTTGCACTGCGTTGCAAAACCAGCCTTGTTAAATTTTTTTTTCTTTTTTTTTTTTTTGCGGAACCGGGGATTGAACTCAGACCCTTGCGCTTGCTAGGGAAGCGCTTATTCCACTGAGCCATCTCCCCGGCCCCAAGCCTTGTTAAAATTTTGAGACAGTCTGGTTAAGTTGCCGAATTGCCCAGGCTGGACCCAAACTTGCCACCTTCCAGTCTCAGCCTCCCAGTGCTAAGATTATGGTGTACACCACTGTGCCCTGCCGCCCCATGTTATTGTGACCTGAAGGGGGTCCTTACTGGTAAAATAGTCATCCATGGGGATCACAAAGCCCCCAGACCTAATGTTCATTCATTCATTCATTCATTCAACAGAAGAGAACAGCAGATAATCGGGGAGGGACTCAGGACCAGGACACATGCTGGCCTTTGGATCCTATTGAGTCTAAGAGTCTGTTTAGCCTGCCTGTGTTTTCAGCCTGCCTGTGACCTCCCCCTCGCCCACCAGAAGCACTGTGGGGTCCCTGTCCTCTGTGAAACACCCACATACTTTGCCTCCCCCCAGCAGGCCTGCTGGCTCAGGACCAATATGACTTGGATCCACTGTCCCCGTTCCCAGACAGTGTCCAGTACTCCCACTACAACGACCAGATAGGTAAGGACCATGCCTGCCACAGCTGTCCCCATGGCCTGCCATCCTGGCTCTGGATTACACGGCTGAGCCCAGGAGCTGGGTGGGGTAGGATGATGGGCATTCCAGGACAGGGGTGGCCTGACCCATGCCACGTCTACTTCCCTTTTCAGATACCCAAGACTACTATGATTACCAAGGTAAGGGCTGGGAGCAGGAAAGGAGATGCAGCTGGGGGAGGGGAGGGAGGGAGGGAGTGGACACCGTTGCCTCTTGCTGCAGAGGTGAGCTCTCGGTCCCCGGAGGAGCAGTTCCAGTCCCAGCAGCAGGTTCAGCAGGAAATCATCCCAGCCCCCACGCCAGGTAGGCTCCCTGCTTCTTGTCATCCCTGAGTGGAGGTCTGTGCCAGGGGTGAGGGTGATGCCCCTGCCCCCAAGCAGACCCCTCCTAGCAATTCTTCCCTGCCTTTCTCTGTTCCAGAGCCAGGAAACACGGAGACGGAGCCCACTGAGCCTGGGCCTCTGGGTAAGAGCTTCCTGCCTGCTGGCATGGGAGGGCATGGTGGGATGGGGTGCTAGGCTAGATTGTGTGGGAATGTGGGGGGCAGAGGAACAGGTGGCTGTGCCCCTATCTTCAGCTGGCAGCTCTGGGACATCCCACCCTGCCCACTGTGGCCCTGGTGAGAAGCTAGGCTGGTCACCCCTAGGCGGGGGCAGAAGACCAGGTAATGATGCCCTTGGCCAGGCAAGGAAGGGCCAGGGACGCCCTGGCTGGCTGAACGGTGCCTGGCCAGGAGCCTGAGAACACTGTTGAGAGAATCTGTGAGCGCGTCCTTCTAGGAGTGTGTTAGAGTACAGGTTCACGTGAGCACGCGTGTATCTGCTAGGGAGTTTGGACTTCAGTGACCACGCGCGCTGTGAATTTGTGTGAACTTACATATATTGGAAGGTGTGTGTTTAAGTATGGTTGTGAGCTGGTGTGTGGGGGGGTGTGCAGAGCTGGGGGGTGGGGAAGAAGGTACAGCCATGCCTGGCATGTGTGGGGTACCTTACCTGCATTTCCATCTCAAGTGGGTGAGTTTGGGGGCAGCCTCTGTGGCTCTGAACCCCCCATCTGGCCCCCTGCCCCCTAGACTGCCGAGAGGAGCAGTACCCATGTACCCGCCTCTACTCCATCCACAAGCCTTGCAAGCAGTGTCTCAATGAGGTCTGCTTCTACAGGTGAGGGGGCAGGGGTGGGGGAAGCAGTGAAGCCAGAAGGGTTGGAGTTTGGGGACAGTGAATCCTGAAGCTGCAGTGCCAGGCCGGGTCCCGGCTGTCCTAGTGGCCGAGTCCTCAGACCTCCCTGGCCGTGCTCTTCCCTAGCCTCCGCCGCATGTACGTCGTGAACAAAGAGATCTGTGTCCGCACAGTGTGTGCCCATGAGGAGCTCCTCCGAGGTAGAAAGAGCCCCCCTGCCCCTCTGCCTGTGCCCTCTTTGCCACCCCTCCACCCCATCTTCACTCAACATGGATCCCATGTCTGGGCTCATGGGCAGGGCATCCTGGGTCCACCAGCACTTTCCTCAGGACACATACACCCTGACCCTGCTCCCTCCTGTCCCCCAACAGCTGACCTGTGTCGGGACAAGTTCTCCAGATGTGGTGTGATGGCCAGCAGTGGCCTGTGCCAGTCTATAGCAGTCTCCTGTGCCAGGAGCTGCGGGGGCTGCTAGGGTGGAGCTGGTCCCTGAGCCCTGGGCCCTGCACAGACCCTGCCTGACTGGTGCTTTCTCCCTGTCCCACCTCCCTCATTCTGTAACCTGGCAGACTGCAGCCCCAGGGGTTGCACGCTCTGATGCCAAGCCCCACTCCCCAGCCTGTGGCCACCCCTGGGGTGCAACAGGGGCTACTACCCAGGCTCTGCCCCCAAGTGGGGAGCACCCAAGGCCTCTCTGTGGGACACAGATCTCTGGTGTGCCTTGTCATCCCCCTAGGACAGTCTCTTGAGGCAGGCTATGCCCCTTACCCTGGCTGGTCTGCCTGGATCTCCTATAACTCCCTGGGCATGGATCACCTCTGTTTTATATAAAATTAAAAATAAGTTTTTACAAAAGATCCTGAGTCGCTTTTTTGGTCCAGTTATGGAGGCCAACCTGGGGCCTTCAATCCTGTCCCACCAAGACAGGAGGCTGTTCTGAAGCCAGGTGTGGTGGGACACACCTGTAATCCCAGCACTTCGGAAGCTGAGGCAGGAGGATTATTGGGAGCTCAAGGACAGCCTCAGCTACATAGTGAGTTCAAGGCCAACCAGAACTGCAGGAGTCCCCATCTCAAAAAAAATGAAACAAAACGGACCAAGCATGGGGCTATTCATGTGAGCAACAGCTTGCTGTCCGAAGTCCCAGCCCCGTCTCCCCACGCAGCCACTCAGCTCCGACCTGTCCGGGAGGGACTATGACACCTGCCCCAGGATGTGCCGACACACATGCGCATGGGCAACAGAAGGCTCCAGGACACTGCTTTCTCGTGGTCGGGGCTGCTTGGTGAGGGCCCAAGTCCCCCGCCACGGGACAGATACAGCAAAGACGTGAGGCCACAGGGTGGAAGTGTGGTGGGGCAGATGGCGTGAGGAGGTCAAGACAGTGGACCTGAGAGCACGGGCTGTCATCAAAAGGGCAGAAGCAGGCTAGGCCACCGTGCCCCCACCCACACCAGCACCCAACCCCGCTGTGACACTCAGCCCTGTCCTCTGGTGGGTGCAGTTACCACCCCAAAATCACAGGCAGGAAACTGCCTGAAGCATTCGGTGAATCACCCAAGGCCCCTCATTGTTCAGTGACAGTGCCCAAGCAGGATTGGTGTGTGACTGTGAGGGAGGACAATGACCACAGTGCCTCCCGGAGACACTGCCTGCCATGTGGTGAGTTCCGCTCACCGCCCTATGGGGCAGGTTCCCATTTTGCAGACGAGCACACAGAGGCTCTGGGAGGTTAAGGGGCTTCATCCAGACTGGCTGGGCAGAGCCAGGCAGGACCCTACGGTCACAATGCCTAGCAGGCCAACACCATCCAGAGGGTGGGCCCTGTCCCCAGGACGGCCAACAAGGGGCGAGGGTTTGCCTGGAAAGAGCTGACCCATGTGGCCAGATTACAGCCTTGACAGCCCCATCTGTGAAATGGAGTAGGGGACCCAGGATCCCCGCCATCCCGTGAGGTTGCCAAGTCCCTTACCAGCACAGGCCTCTGCCTCCTGCTGTCTCCAGCTGCCCTCCCCAGAGGCCCCCAGCCCACCTGCATGCCTCCCATCTCCTGGGTGGAGGAGGCCCCCAGCAGTGTGGAGAACAGCAGTGCCTTCTATACAAGCCAATTTTAGAAAATGGTCTTATTATAAAAAACACAAGTTCTTACCAGTTAACATTATAAAAAGGTACAAAAATACAAGCATTCTGAGCTCTCTGAGCAATTTTCTGACAAATGCTCTGAACTGAGGCAGAGAGATCGCTGGGAGCCAACCAGGCCCTGGCTCCCTGCCTGTTCCCATGAGGCCCTGCTCTGGGCTGGCCAGAGACTAGGGCTGTCCCTGACGCCTGGCTTTGGCTCACCCGCTCAGGGGAGGCTCTTGCACAAACTTGAGTGCCTCATCCTGGCACAGGGGCTGGAGTGAAGTGGGTCACCGAGGGACACCAGGAAGCTACTGATGGGTGTGGCCTGGAGCTGCTGTCCATCCATCAGCACTGCCAGGCAGCAACAGGCCAGGCCCTGGGTGGCCTGCACTGCAGAGGTCTGACTTGAGACCGTGTCCTACTCAGCACGGCTGCTCTGAGGATTCCAGCCGGGCAGAGGCTCATTTCTCAAGGGAGCCAGAGGATGGGGAGGACACTGAGCCCCTTCAAAGCTGCAGCTGTCCCTTCACTGTGGACACCTGAGGAAGAAGAGAAGGTAAAGGTAGCCCAGGTCCTCAGCGTGATTTCAGAGAACGGGACCCTCAGGCATGGTTGGGGACCTGAGGGAGCCCAATGTTATCCGCTGCAGGGAGCACCTGCAGTCACCAGAGTCATGAGGTCCTTGTCCCTGCAGTCAGGCACCTTGTTGACTTGGGCATCTGTCAAGGTCCCCAGCACTATGCCCCTCCTTCATACCCTCTCCAATTGAGTGAGCCTGGCTCTGTCTAGACCAGGTTGGGCCAATCAGGGCAGGTGTGGCCTGCTCAGAAAGCAGCAGGTGACAAGCTGGTCAGGAGGACCAGCCCTGCCTGTGGCTTCTGTCAGTGCTCCCCGGAGGATGTACCCTCTCTCCCCTCTGGAACCCCAGTTTTTGGGAGAATGGGCAGCTGGAGCTGGTGATGATATTTGTGCCATCCAAGTAAAGGGGCTACCTGGGCCTGGAGCTAGACAGCAGCACCTTGGCAGGGAGGGACAGAGGCCCAGTAACATCACTTGGGCCCTGGTGCAGCCACAGTGGCTTTGAACATCCATCTACCAGGTCCTTTTCAAGTCTAAAAAGTGGTTGTCAGGTGCTTACACTCCTGAGGTCATGGCCAGCCCTGTCTTCCTGCAGCCTACACGGCCGGCCTGTCCCTGCCTCCCTTGTAGGAGCCCACCTACCTGGTCCTCCAGCCCCAGTACCTGCTGGCGGTGGGCACGCTGGGTCTGCACCTGGCGCCCCGTCTCCTGCTGCAGCTCTAGCTGCTGTTGCTCATCTGCCTCCAGCTGGGCCGGAGTGTGGTTCTGCTCTAGGGCCACCATCTGAGCCTGCAGGGAGGGGGCCGCTGTTCAGGGTTCTGGCCCAGGGTGTGCACTGCACAGTGAGGCATCAGGTGTCAAGCACCTCCCTGAGGCTCAGCCAGTGCAGGAGTGGGGAACACAGCCATCAGGGAGGCCTTGCCCACAAGCCTGCAGATCCTGGCTCAGGGTCCCCAGTAACCCCCACTCACCCACACAGAGAGACATGCTCAAATGCAGACTGGCCCCACACATAGGAACCAAAGCAAGCATGTCAACACCCACATTCACAAAGATGCAAGCCTGTATGCGAAGGCTGAAGACATACACGTGTGTATATATGGAATCAGCTGTGCACGGGCCACATGCATACATCAGATTCATGGTATTCATACCTAGACATGTTTACAACATATATGAACACACAGGCTCACAGGCCCTCAGCGTCACTGCTCTCCACCAAGGGTAGAGCCCCACCCCATATGACCCGACTGGGCCACCTGCTCCTCTGGGAACAGCTCACATTCAGGCTGGCTACCCAGCTGGGGACCAGGCCGGTGGGGGAGGGGCAGTGCTAGGGGAGGGGCAGGGCTGGGTAGGCGGGGCCAGACCTCCAGCTGCTGGATGTGCCTCTGGGCCTTGGCCAGCTCCTGCTCAGCCCCGGTGAGCGTGCGGTCCAGGCGACCCTTCTCTGCGCTCAGCCGCACCGTGTCCTCGTGGCTGCGTAGCTTCTCCCGCTCCACCTAGGTGGGGAGCACAGGAGGAAAGGGCTCACAGAGTGGGCTCTGAGTCCCAAGCCAAGACCACAAGGGCAGACAGGTGTGGCCCATCAGGCCAGGCCCCAGAGATGGCGAGGGGAGGCCAAGATGGCATAACCCACCTTGTCCAGCATCCTCCGGAGGGCCATGCGGTCCTTCTCCAGCCGCGAGGCGGAGCGCTCCACCTCCCGCTTCTCGGATTCCAGCTGGGCCAGGGCCCTCTGCAGGCTGCCCAGGTGCTCCTGCAACAGCCGCCGCTCATCCTGCAGCTTCTGCACCGTGTGCAGCGCCTCAGTCTCGCCCTCTTGCCGCTGCCGTAACACCTGCAGCAAAGGCCAGGTGGGCCCTGCGTCCCTCTGGGCTTCAATGTGACCTGTGTCTGGTACCCACATGTCTCTGGGAGGCCCTGTGACAGAACTGTCACCCGAGGCCAGGGAGTGCTCCTGGAGCCTCAGTTTCTCCATCTATACACAGGGGTGTGGCTGAATAAACTATGCTTCTTATGGGAGGTGGGGCCAGCATTCAGGATAGACTGCGTAGGCCAGAAAGCGGGCCTCACAGTCCTGGGAACACAGGTCGAGATTGGCCCTCACCTCCTTCAGCTGTTGCAGCTGGCCCTCTGCCTCCGCGCGCTGCAATTCCAGGTCGGCCAGTTCACCCCTTGCTGTCCGCACCTGCTCACCCAAAGAGCTGCTCTGCTTCCGAGCTTCTGACAGTGCCTGCCGGGCAGCGTCCATCCGTTCCTGGAAGACAGGAGCTGATGGCATAGGCCAGACTGCAAGCCCAAGGCCAGAGGCTATCTATTCTACCTATGGACAGGTTCACCATCGCTTTACCCTGTCCACGGCCTGTATACTAATGGCATATGTTAGGAGACACCCCAGCTCACTAAGTCTCCACCTGGACTTTCAAGCCACTGGTAGGCTCCTTCCTTATTGGGTGTGCCTCCTAGAGCCGCCTCCTCTGATTGGCAGATACTCCATTGGGTCAGCCCCCCAATGCCTGCTTTATTTATTTATTTTATTTATTTATTTTATTTTTTTGCAGTACCAGGGATTGAATTCAGGACCCTGTACTTGCCAGGCAAGTGCTTATTCTACTGAGAGGCTACTGAGCTATCTCCCCGGCCCTCAATGCCCGCTTAGTGTTGACTGGCTCCTTAGAATTCCCAACTAACAGCTCACTGGCTGGCTTCTCACCAGCCTCTTTTTTATTGGCTGACTCCCATGCTGGCCCCTGCTCCCACCACACCCGGCAGGCCTGTACCTGGAGCACCTGGCGCTCATGTTCACAAGCGGTCAGTGCCTTCTGCAGCTGCAGGTTCTTGTCTTGGGTGCTAGAGAGGCTGGTGTTGCTCTGGGCCAGGGCCTGTGTCAGGCTCTGTACTTTGTCCCGCAGGACCCCTTCACTTGCCTCCATCTTGGCCAAGGCCCCATTCAGCCGCTCCACTGTCAGCTGCAGGGTCCCTGCCTTCACTTCGCTGTCGGCCACCTGGTGGGGGACTGACAGGACATCAGAGGGCTCTGCTCCCACTGTGAGCCCCACCGAGAATCCCCAATGTAAGCTCTTCCCACCTCTCTGGGCCTCACTGCTGCTAACCTCCGTTCCTAGGCGCCCGCCTTGCTTCATCCTACTGCTGGTTAACTACTCCTGTCCAGGGCCCCATCAATGTAGTTGTCCCAAATCCTCTAGTTTCTTCCCTGACCTTATTCCTTGTTCTCCCCTGCCATGAAAGAGAAAGGAAGGCACCATGACCCTGAAATTTTCTGTTTTCAACACTGGTGAGTACCCAAACAGGGAAAATTACTGAACTTCCCAGTTAGAGCTGTACTTCCCAGCAGCCAAGGCAAAAAGAGAAGAGTGAAATCCACACCTCTATCTTGTTCCACATCTCCTGTCTATGTAGATTCTATCATCAAATAGCACTGAATTCTAATTTTGGCTCTTATTAGCTATGTGACAGGGAAACACATCACCTCTGAGTCTCCACTTGCCCATCTTTAAAATGGGGCTAGGGGCCGGAGGGATGGCTCAGTGGAATAAGCGCTTCCCTGGCAAGCACAAGGCCCTGAGTTCAATCCCCAGTTCTACCAAAATAAACAAAAAAACGGGGTGGGGGGGAGGCTGATGTTAATACTCGCCTGACCGTGCTGCATAGATGCTGTGAAGTCACTAAACAGGACAAAGCTGAGGCAAAGCTGAGGGACAAGGGGCCCACCTGTCTCTGTAGGGAGTCCACCCGGTCCTGCAGGGCCTGGGCATGGGCCTCGCGGTCACTGAGGCCCAGGCGACTCCGCTGCAGCTCGCCCTCCAGCGCTCGCCGCTGAAGCTCCAGCTTAATGGTGCGGCTCTCAGAGGCGTCCAGCACCTCCTTCAGGCGCCGCTTGTCGCTCTCCAGCTTCACCTCATTGGCCTTCATCTTGTTTATCTTCTCCTGCGGATGGGAGTGTGGGAGGCTCATGCCCCAGGTGCCGTATGCACCCCACACCTGTCCCCCACCTCCCTTAGCTAGCATGGGGGCAGCCTCAAAGATGGTGTGACCAGGGCCAGCCTGCAACCCTGTGAGGTCCTCAGCGTCCTTCAGTGCTCACAGGATGAGTGGGTGCAAGGGCCCGGGATCACCACTTGTGACCCTTCCCACACTCTGACCCTGGGGGGCCTGGATTGGCCCGGGGTACCAAAAGAGTTGTGGGAAGAGGCTGAAAATGCAGGGTCCAGGCACCCAGAAGCTGCATGTATAACCAGAGCTGAGTCCCAGCACTGCGTGGGCCCTGACATTCCAGGGCTTACAGGAAGGACTCCCTCCCTCCCTCTCATGTTCATGGTCAGACAGAAAAGGGGCCTGGGAGAGACAGAGCAGGACAGATACGGGATCTTTCAACACACATCACCACCCTGGAAACACAGTGGGTCATGGGGACACTGGAGCTTCCCTTACCCCTCCCAAGCCGGGCCCCTCTCTTTCCCAGGTCAGAGTCCTAGCCCCGCTGCATCTCGCCCAGGGGCCCCCACTCTGGCTTCTACCCAGCTTTGTTCCTGGCCTCCAGGCCCCTGTAACTGGGCCCAAGGCCAGAGCTGCAGCCGCAGACACAACAATCCAGCTCCAGCTCGGACCCCAGCCAGGTTAGGGTTGGGCTGTGGGCTGTGGGCAGCCTGGGGGGTGGGGACGTCCAGTGATGGAGGCTCAAGGCTTTAGGAGCCTGGACTGTCACCACCTGTCCTATTTCAGACATGGACAGACACACACACACACACACACACACACACACACAGGTTTACACAGATGTCTCCCAGACACACACAAAACCCCACAGCACCACTCGCATGGCTATGCAGGCACAAAACAGAGCCCCACGGGCACCAGCAGTGTGTCCCCAGCATGTACCAGGTTTCCTTTCAACTGATGAGGATGACAAAAATCGGGCAGCAGAACTGCAGCCAGGGTTGCTGGCTTTGGCCCACCCCTTTGCCTACAGCCTCATGAACTAAGGTGAGGGAACCTGAACGTGTTTTTGTAGAAAGAGGAGCAGGGGGCTGGTGAGATGGCTCAGTGGTCTAAAGCACCTACTTAGAACAAGCTTAGCAAAGCACAGAGACCGCGGTTCAATCCCCAGCACCACATGCCAGCCAGCCCCGGCCCCCTGGTGGGCTGAGCTGGCCACACACACACACACACACACAAATAAAAAAAAATAAAAAAAAAAAAAAAGAGGAGCAGGCTGTCGCCCCAGTGGTCGCGGAGATCCACGGTAAAACAGCAGTGTGCCCACAGAGCCACTGGACACGCACCCTGACCCACTGGCCCTCGGTACCTGCCCACCTGGCTGGCCTGGAGCTCGTTCTCAGTGGCCCGCAGGCTTCTCTCCAGGGCAGCCACCTGGTCCTGCGTGGCCCTGCGCTCCCGCTCACTGCGCCGCACGCTCTCCTCCTTCAGCGCCAGTTCTGCCTGGGCCCCGCTCAGCTGCCCATCCACACTGCGCCGGGCTGTGGCCACCACCCAGGTCCACCATCAGGCACAGTGAGGCATGGCTAGAGATCCAGCCCAGACCACAAGATGCCTGCTTGTGCCCCACCCACCACAGGGCCTGCCTGTTGGTCCCCCCGAGGGTATGTGGGTACAGCCACAGGTAGGCTGAGCAGGCAGGGTCCCCTGGAGGGGCAGGGATGCAGCCACCCAGACCAGTGCCCCAGCTTCCTAACTCACTGCTCTCCAGGCACAAGGGAGCACAGCTGGGACCTCGAGGGTCAAACTCACCTTCCTCGCTCTTGGCCACTGCCTTCTGCAGCTGCCTGGCCCTTGAAGCTGCACTGTCCCTCTCAGCCTCTGCCTCAGCCAGCTGTCGGCTGAGGGTGCTGGTCTGAGATCGAAGCTCATCCTACAGCCCAAACATTTGGGGGTGGGGGGAAGATGCTGCTCTGAGCACCTGCTGCCCCTCAGGGCCCTTGGCCATCAGCTCCCCACATAGCCCCTCAAAGCCATCCTTACCCGCTCTCGCTGGGAACCCCGCAGCTCCTGCAGGAAGTCCCGGAGAGCACCCCGCACTGCCTCTGGCTCCAGGTCTGGAAGCCCTGGAGAGACAGCAGGTCCTGGGGATGGTGGCTGAGACCCAGGGCTGTGTTCCAAGGGGCTGCTGGGCCCTTCTCCGCTTCCTAAAAGACACATTCAGGGGCACAGGAGCCCCATGCATGGCTTCAGAGCCCCAGGGGAACCCACTCACCCTGCCCTGCCACAACTACTGGCCCATCTAAGCTTCTCATAGCAAAAAGGCCACATTACCCTCTGCCTTGAACTGGCTGCCAGACCCCATGACTATCCAATCAAGCCAAGTTCTTTGCCATACAAAAGTGAGCCCCGCTGCCCAACCTGGCACCATCCTGCTCCTGTACAAGCTGGCCACTCTGCATCACTCTTGGCTTTGAACTCTAGAATATCCCCTGACCCAGGCCCAGCCTCTGCATGTGGGATCTTTTTTTTTGGTATTTTAGGCAAGGGTCTACGGGGTGTTCAGGGTCTCACTACTGGATCAAACTTGTAGTGATCCCCCTGTTCACAGCCTCCCAAGAGCTGGGATTACAGGCACATGCCACCACACCCAGTCTCAACTGCTGTCTCAGCAAGCCCCGGGGGCAGGACTGGCACTGCAGGCCCGGGGATTGAACCCCTGGCCCCTGAGCCTACTTGCAGGCGCTTCAATCCACTGAGCTATTTGGCCAGCCCTACATGTGGGATCCTTTGCAGAGCTCCTCTGAACTTATCCCGTCACACCCTCGGCAGCCTCTTGGATCGCCAGGTGGGTTGGGGTGACCAGATCTCAAGCTACTGGGGTCTGAGGTCTGTTTCCTCACCTTGATCACATGTGCCAGAAGGTTGGCTCTCTCCTGTCCACTGCTCATCCCCAAGGCCCAGGCCATCTCCCTGGCACCTCAACATCTCTGTGCTGAGTGTTCACCTACCCTAGGCACCAGGTCAGTGCCCTCCCTGCAAGGCCTCATTCCACCCTCCCGATAATTCTGGACAGGCAAGCACTGATTCTATCCACTTCACAAGTTCCAAGCAGTTAGCTGATTTGTCTCAAAGCTTGGAAATTTCCGAGCCAGGGCTGGAACTTAGGCACGCTGGTTCCCTAGGAGAACAAAACTCGAACTTGGGAGAGGATGGTCACAGGGATAGGGGACGGGACAGAGCGCCACCTGGAGGTCTGCATCGCAACTGCAGAACCAGAGCGACCAGTTGCCCAGCAGAATTCCCCAAACACGTAAGACCTCTCTCTCTAGGATGACTATCTATCTATCTATCTATCTATCTGTCTATCTATAACTTTATTTTAGGTGCCAAGGACCAAACTTGGGACCCTGTGCTTGCCAGGAAGGCACTTATGCTGCTGAGCCATCTCCCTGGCCCAAACATATATCACTTCAGATGTATCTTTTTTGCTACATTGGGGATCAAACTCAGGCATGCTCTATCACTGAGCTATAGCCCCCAGCTCTTTTTAACTTTAGACAGGGTCTTGGATTCCTTCTTTCTCATCCTCCCTTGGTGCTGGTATGTACCCCCAAACCCAGCTCTTTTTTTTTTTTCCCCCAGAACCGGGGATTGAACTCGGGCCCCTGCACTTGCCAGGCAAGCACTTATTCCACTGAGCCATCTCCCTGGCCCCACCCAGCTCATTTTAATCACTTTAAGTGTACAATTTTGCGGCATAAATTGCACTCACGCAATTATGCAGCCGTCACCACCATCTGCCCCCAAATCTTTTCCATGGGCCCTGTAATGGGTCAAATTGCCACTCCAAAACTTCCTGTGTTAAGTCCAAGCCTCCCAGACCCTCAAAATTTGACCCAGTTTGCAGACGGGGTCATTAGAGATGTGATTAGTCACACTGAGCTCATCCAGGGCACCTAGTTCCAGCTGTTGTCCTTATGAACAGGGGAGATCTGGACCAGACAAGCAGGCACACAGGAAACTCGCCCTGCGATGAGGACAGTCACGCTGCTGTAAGCCAAGCAGTTCTCCAAGCCAGGAGGCAGGCACTGTTCCCGCAATAGCCTTCCAAGGGAGCTGGCTCCAGATGTTTCAAGAGGCAGACACGGCTTTCTGTCCTTAAGCCACTCAGGTGGTGACAGTTGGCCTGAGCAGCAGGGACTTCCATATCCTGATTCTTTTTTTTTTTTTTTTTTTTTTTTCCGGGGATTGAACTCAGGACCCTGCACTTGCTTATTCTACTGAGCTATCTCCCCAGCCCCCATATCCTGATTCTCAGTCAACTTAAAAATACTTTCTAATGCCGAGCATGATGATGCCGACATCAGCATTCTGGGAGGCTGAGGCAGGAGGCTCACAAGCTGGGGCCCAGCCTCAGCAACTTGACAACTCAGTAATGCTCAATTTTAAATTACACCCGTACTGAACAGGTACAGCTGCAAACAGTTCCTTGTCATCAGCCCCAACGCAACAGAGAAGAACAGTCATTTGCATGCATTTATGCTGGATTAGTCAGGATAAGTACCCTAGAGGTGATTAAAAGTACATGGGTTGGATGCAGATAAATACCGCATTCTCCACATAATACATAATGCTCTTGGGCATCCGGATGCTCTGCTATCCTCAGAGGAACAGGGAGTATAGAAATGATCCTCTGCTACGGCTATCCTAGAGGGTCTTAGCACTGAGCCACACATCCTCAGCCCTATTTTTTTGAGGCAGAGTCTCATTAAATCACTAAATTGCCCAGGCTGGGCTCAAACTTGTGATCTTCCTGTTTCAGCCTCCCAGAGTACTGGGATCCCAGGCCTGCGCCATTACCCCCAGTAGCAATTCTAATTTTAAAGTAAAAACCTCCAATGCCTCCCTCCCCCTACTCTTGGGGATCTCTAATCCACCTTCTACTCCCACGAATGTATCTATTCTAGATAGTTCGTATAAGTAACTTCAGACCATACTTGTCCTTTTGTTCATTTTTTGCAGTTCTGTGATTCAACCCAGGGATTCAAACACGCTAGGTCTGAGTCTACCCCTGACCTGCCCTTTCCTGACTTACTTCAAGGAGTCCGATGCTGTTACAGTTTCTATATACCATGTTAGAGACTGCGACTCCTTTCTCAGGCCAGAGGTATTCCACTGGCTGACGCACCACCTTCTGGAACTGTGAATAATGTGGCAATAAAACTTGGTGTACAGATTTCTATTCAAGTTCCTATGTTCAACTCCTTTGGCCACATAGCTAGGAGTGCAAGTGTGGGTACTTTTTGTTTGTTTTCTGTTGAGACAGGGTCTTGATGTATAGTTCAGGCTGCCCTTGAAATAATTATGTAGGGGCCAGGGAGATGGCTCAGTGGAATAAGTGCTTCCCTAGCAAGCCCAAGGGCCTGAGTTCAATCCCCGGTTCCGCAAAAAAAAAATTGGTTTTGGCCAGGGAGATGGCTCAGTGGAATAAGTGCTTCCCTGGCAAGTGCAAGGGCCTGAGTTCAATCCCTGGTTCTGCAAAAAAAAAGAAATAATTATGTAGCCCAGGCTGGCCTCGGCAATCCACCTGCCTCAGCCTCCCCATGCTGGGATTACAGGCATGTGCCACCAGGACCAGCTCTATATTTCATTTATTATAGCTTGTTCATTTGTTGCTATTTCCATACCTCTTTATAAGTAAGTTCCACAACAACAGACATGCCTGTCATGTCATTTCCTTTTCATTCTAGGTGCTTAAACTGTATTTCCCACTTGCTCTACAGTTAAGCATTGAGTGAATAGGGCTCAGGGATTTAGCTTAGTGGTGCAGTGCCTGCCTGGCAAGTGTGAGGTCCTGAGTCTGATTCCTGCTACTCACCTCCCAAGAAAAAGTACTGAATGTTAACAACTGTGATTCTCAAGGGAGTGGGGCCTGCCCTGCCTGTCTGGGAAAGTTCTGGTATCACGGGCCTGCAATGGGAGGGTGTTGGAGACTCAAGAGGATGGCGATGGGGGCATAGATTGGTTAAAATAGAGGTTCACAGGCTCAGGAAAGGAGTTGACCCATTAAGACTCTCTAAGCAGGGGCCGGGGAGATAGCTCAGAAGGGCCTGAGTTCAATCCCCTGTTCTATCAAAAAAAAAAAAAAAAAAAAATCCGTAAGCAGGAGCCAACCGAGGGGCGGGGCGTCCGCGAGGGGCGGAGCTATCTCGGAACCCATTGGATAGACTATTCTGGATGGACGGGGAAGGGCTCAGCGATTACGGGGCGTGGCCTCGGTCGGACCCGCCCCCTCACCGACACTCACCTCCCGCAGGCGAGTCTCGGGCTGGGGAGCCCGGCACCGGGCGCGGGGCGGGGCTGGGCAAGCGGCCCAGACCCAGACCTCGGCGCAGGGCCGAGCGTAGGCCGCTCAGCTGGGCCTCCGCGGTGCGCCGCTGCGCTTCCACGCGAGCCAGCTCTGCTTCCAGGCCCTGCGCCCGGCCCTCGGCTGCGCTCAGCCGCAGCCCCAGCTCGGCGACCTCGGCCCGCGCTGTCTCTAGCTTGAGCTCCAGGCTGCGAGCTTGGTCCAAATGTTTCTTCTGCGCCCCGCGCGCCTCTTCCAGGGAGCCTTGCAGGCCCCGCTCCCGGGCCCTGAACTCTGACTCCTGTTCCTGCAGCTTCCGCTGGCATCCCTGGAGCTGGATGGGGAGAAGCCGAGAGGTGGGGAGGGGGTTACAGGCCACCTCCAACCCAACGCCCCCTCCTCCCTGGCTGGGCCTGGCTCGCCCCACCAAGGGTTTACATTTAGTGGTCTCCACCAAAGCAGGCAGTGCAAGAGCATTCGTGGGGTGTGGGCGGAAATTACTAGAATTTGTCATCTCTTCCCTCTGTCATGTACAGTTTATCACTGCTGCTGACACTCATACAGATAAGCTAGTGTCCAGCATTACTTTTTTTTCGTTTTGAGATAGGACGTCGCTATGCAGTTCAGGCTGGCCTTGAGCTCACTTTGCAGCCCAGGCTGGTCTTGAACTTGCAACCATCTTCCTGCCTCAGCCTCCTAAGTGCTGGGATTACAGGCTTGCACCACCACAAAGCATTCCTTTCCTAAAAAGGGAAAAAATAATGCTATTTTCCTACGAGTCGTCCTCATTTTACTGCTCATGAAATAAAGTCATGGAGAAGTTAAGTACTTTGTCCAACACCACGCAACTAGTGTGCTGAAAGCTGGGATTCGGAGCAGGGCGCCCAGCGCTAGCAGCGGCCTTCTAGCCCCCGGATACACTGCGTCTCTGGGCACATAATGTATTAATACATCTGCACGCCAGGAGGATGAGCACTAAAATGAGTCACTGACGATGCTCTAGGATAAGCCCACCTCTTCCGGTCATCAGTTTTGCTGGAAACCCATTCACTGAGCATGGCCCACACGCCAGGACCTCCCCATACCCTCTCCTGTGAGTTCTCTGAAAAACAGAGTAAGCCACTCGGTAAAGGTCACACAGTAGATTCCAATAGCACAACAACCAGCAGAGACAGAATGCAGAGTGCAGGCTTCAGAGCGAGACAGACTTGTGTGGCTGTGTGACCCTGCATGGATCCCTTGAGCTCTCTGAGCCGCAATGTTTAGTTCTAGCTGTAAAATAGGGTGTTGGTATCCACCACGTGGGGCTGCGGGAAAATCAAGGTTTATGCCTACAGAAGAGCCCTACCCCCTCTTTTGTACCTGTACACACCAGAACCACAATGTTTCCACTGTTAATGCTGTTATAACTATTAACACTGCAAGAATCCCAAGAACTAGGCGACGGGACTGGGTCTGACCTTGCAGAATGACCCCAGCTCTGGAGGACTCACCCGCCTGCTAGAGTCCCCCCCACCTGCCCCACAGCAGCCCGTGCATCTGCGTGGTTACCTCCTGCCGCGCGGCCTCCACACTGGCCTCGCCCTTCAGTAGCTTCTGCCGCAGGCCCAGGGCCTCTCTCCGGCTCTCCTTCTCCGCCCGCTCCCCCAGGGCCAGGCGGCCCTGCAGCTCTGCCAGCTCCTGGCTCAGCCTGGCGTTCTCACTGTCCAGCATCTTCATCTAAGGGAGACAGCAGGAGCAGGTGTGCCCACGCCGTGCCCAGTCCCACCCTGGGGGCACTCCCAACACACGCACTGAACACCGCTCCAGGGCACACCTTCTACCTGCACCCTGCCCAGCACCAGGCACCGATAATGTCTAATACTGACTCCATGGACCCCAAACGAGCTTTCATGGGTGCGGGGGAGCAGAGGCTGACCTGTCATCAGAACTGGGGTTCCCCTCACCTCCGCAATGATGACTCCCTTTGGGGGAATACAGAGCATGTGCCCAGGCCTGCTTTCAATGTGTTACCT